CTTATTTTCTTCAATCCTGCAGCCAACCCAATGCCAGGGCGCTCTGACTCGCCAAAGAAAAGGGGACGCCTCAATAGTAAGTGTGAGACAGAAAGTGTGACTTCTGACATCTTGGAAGAACAGAAAGTTGATGATATGGGCTTGGATGCATCAGAACCTCCAGAACAAAGCCGTCCTAGCACACCAGAAGTCCAGGTGTGTGAGGAAAATAAAGAGGACTTGCAGAAAGACTCACAGCAAGATAGTGAAGAACCAGAGAAGAATGAGGAGGAGGAGGAGGAACAAGAGGAACAGGAGGAAGAAGTAGACACATTAGCTCCCAGGGTGAAAATTGGTGCAAATGGACAGATCATTCTAGATGAGACGAGCCTGAAGATCCGAACGACAGCTGCCAAGAATAGGGATGAGATACTAAGCAAAGCAGAGGTTGTGGAAGAAAGCAACGACTCCAGCCACTATGGGAAGTGGAGCAAGAAGAGGAAGCGGTCCTCCCTCTGGACAATGAAAGAGACGGCTAGGTTCTATAAGGCCCTCTCCACCGTAGGTACTGACTTCTCCCTGATGGAAACCTTGTTTGCCTGGAGGTCAAGGGCTGAGCTGAAGACCAAGTTCAAGAAAGAGGAACGTAGCAACAGAGCATTAGTTGATAAAGCCCTTCAAGACTCCACCCAGTTTGACTTCTCCTTGTTTGATATTGAGTCTGGTAAGGATTAAGAAAAAAAATGTAAATAATTTTTTTTTTTTGTTTTTTTTTTGAAATTTTATTACCTCCATGTAAAAAAGATAAATTATGACATCTGTTAAGTAATGTATTTTAATATTTTAAGAAAAAAAGAGGAGAAAAGAAAAGAATATATTTTTGGTTATACATATACTGGTGCTTTATTAATGAGGTAACATTTTGTAGATTATGACCCAGAGGAAGACAGAAAAGCATGCAAAGAAGCTGAACGAGAAGAGGCCAAACGCAGACGGTTGGAAATCAAACAAGAAGAGAAAGCGCGGGCAAAGGAGGAAAAGCAGAAAATTAAGGCACACAAATCATTTTTAAGAAAAAAATATAAGAGAGATCTGCTGCCAAGAAAAAGAAAAAGAAAGAGTCAGGTTGTCAAAAGTTATCATTTAAATGAATTAATATATAATGCTGCGCTACTTTTATTGCTTGACTATATAACCACTCACCTAAAACTCTCTCCAATCTTTCTACCTTGCCACACTCCTCTCCCCTCTTCTTCTCCCTGTCACCACTCTCTCCTCTCTTATTCTCATATGGGCTCACATTCATATTTCTCTCTGTCTTTTGCTTTTACTTTTTTTTTTTTTATTCTTATCCTTCCTTTCTTCCTATTTCTCCAGCTCCTGATTATGCCGCATTTCCTCAACTCCCCAGACCCACTAACAGATAGTCTGCTCGCGGACGCCATGAAGAAAGTGGAACACCATATCATGGGCGGCGTTCGCGAACCTGCTGTCTATCTTGCTCCAGGACCAGCTTGGACGCAGATGTTTCTTGACCGTTCGGAACTCCCACTATCCTCCGTTCCGGACAAGTAGTTCTACTCGTCCAACCTCGCTCCTACTCGCGAAGGTGGCCGAGCAGGGACGAGATGACGTCACAATAGATTTTGCTGTTTAAAACATTGCAGTTGCAGGACTAACCACAAGATATTGGTGCGGTAATTTTTATGCGCCCTTTATGTTTATCAAGGATATTTTTGTGTTCTCAGTTGTAGCGTAAGTTACAATATACATCAAACGGATTTACAAACAAACCCTACTCCGGCAGCGTGTAAAATAAAGACCGGTCATGTTGCAAAAAGTGGACATCGTTCTACATTCGAGCGCGTTGCCATCCCCTTCGCAGACAAGGGTCTTTGGAGATTCTCCGAAAACGCGACCCACTTGTCCCTGCCCTGCCGCTCCCTGGACAAGACTCGTCTGGACGAAGCACACGACCCGAGCCCAGTTCGAACCCTTGCCCGCATGTTCCATCACAAAACAACCCTTTCACTCATCACTACCCTCCCCTTACCAACAACCACCTGCGTCCCCCCGTCTCGCCACATCTATTTGCCACTCTCTCTCTCGCCCGCTGGATCACAGCTCGCATTTCAGCCTTCTACTTCTCTCCCCTTCCCCCCACCTCCCATCTGACTGTTGTCTTGTCTTGCACTCTAATTTCCTAACTCCAACCACCTCTCCTCCTCCGTAGTTGTGATTTCAACTGCCCCGCCAGACTCTGCGGGGTGCTCTCCATCACCAACCCCTCCCAGGCCGATCACCTAGAACGGTTTCTCTCCACAAATAACCCCTAATTATTTCTTAATTTCAGATTCCCCCAACACACTTTTGACATGCGCCACCACGATCCTTCTTCATATCGTGACCTCTCCCCTATATGCTTCCCCCTACTTTTCATTTAATTCCCCTTGCGTCACGTTCCTGAGCCACTTCCCAGCTCACTCCCCTTTCCTCCCCTCACTTTCGCTCATGCCATTTACTTCCTCAATCCCCCACGTGGTGCTTTGATACGCAGCCCTGACTGGCGTACTTATTCACTTCACTTCTACTATATCTATCCCTCAATCTCTCTTCCCGCTCACTTCAGATATGCTACAATGCTTTATTACAATAACGATCCTAAGAGCTGCCTTGTTTACAGCCATTCCTCGAACTCTTCAAGACCTTCTACCTCTAAATTGTGTTCCATGGCCTCGGAATTCTGATTGCACCAAAAGCGCGTTCGTTTAAAAACGAGCAGCTGGAACAGCTATCGCTACAAACGAGGCACCCCTAACCAGCCTATCACCACCTTTTCTCCTTTTAAACAGAAAGCATCTGCCATCTTCGCGGTTACAGTCCAGAAACGGGTAAAAAAAAAACATACTNATATATATATATATATATATATATATATATATCAGATAATCCTACACTTAGGCTCTGAAACCATCAGTTCTGAATGCAAATTAAACATTTCATCACATATATTGCTATGCAAGAACAGACATTATTAGCCATCAATTGCAAAAAGCCTCGAACGTAGGTTTATTTAGCTTTCCGGTAAAGTGCTTCCCTGCTCAGTGCTGCCACCTGTAGATAGAGCCATAAACCTAACGACTAGTTGTTCTTCAACGCAACAGATGGCGATTCTCCTTAGGCAAATTCATGTTTGCGACCGAGAACAAATATACATAATCGCAAACTTATACATTTGAGATGAAATTTCAGTGATACGTAAGTTTTTTCATTAATATAAACGAAGTCGGCGAAGAAATGTGCAAGATAATGAGACATAACAAAAGAACAAGCGTAATAGATATTCTTGTGGGAGTTTAGAAAATAATAATGTGGCAAATTAAAAAAAAAATCCCAGGGAATGTAGTTATCGTTCCACTAATAAGTGAGGTGCAACAGATCAATGCATTACATGAAGACTAACGCCTCTGCCGTATCCCACATGCTCCTCCCTAGCGATCCGCATTAGTTACCTGGGCGGAGCTTAGCTGTGCGTTTTGCGTTGTGATTGGTCCAGCCGATGTAGCAAGGATAACTTTCTTGATGGCGATTGGTTGGAGAAGATGATGTCATGGTATTCTTGATTTGCCGTGAAGCAGGGGGAGAAACCGCGTTGCATATTTATTAATTTTACATAGTCACAGAAATGCCGTTGTTTCGGCAAATAAATAAAATGTAGACATGATAAGAGTGATCTTAACGAATATATAATTAGAAATGGGAGAATGGTGGCTTATTTTGCTCTAGAACAGAGTCACATTTCTTTTCTGTTGGCAGCCCTGTGACGAGGTATCAAAAGGAGGTCCACGTCTGTTTACCGAGTTAGAGTTATTTGTGCGGCCGTGAGGAGAAGACGCGGGAGGAGGCACACAGGATTTATTCAGTTGGCCGCTTATGTGCAATCCAGTGTAGTGTAGGAGGCGGAGAGGGAGCATAACCCGGTGCTTATGTTTATGTGTTAGTGTGTGTGTGTGTAAAGTGTTGGCTGTGAACAGAGAAAACAATCCCGATGCGGGAATTGTGTGTCGAAAGAATCGCCATGAGCACAAGAGTTGCTTTGCCGATGCACACGGGCTGCTGCAGTATGTCGGAGCTACGGCGTCAGCTCCTCCCCAGCCCCCCACCTAGCCAGGACCGCACTGCCCATGTTCGGAGAAACCTGTTTGGACCGATAGACCGCGACGAAAACCTCAAGTTCGCGCAGGATGAGATGAACAAGGTATCGCAGGCCAGCTGCAAGCGGTGGAACTTTGATTTCGAGGCCGAGAAGCCGAAAGAAGGCCGCTACAACTGGGAGCCTGTTGGTGAAGCCGTGCCACAGGCCTATGAAATGCCTAGACTCACTGCTCTCACCACACACGCCACAACCACACCTCACACCACCATAGCCGCACCCAAACCTGTGCATAAAACTGTACCTGAGTGTTCAAGCTCAACTAAGAGCGAACAGCAACCCTCCACGTCGAGCACGCCCGTCACGGGGCCCGACACACCCACGCCCACCACAACCAGCACATCCATATCAACTGCCAAACTGTCCACTCCCGCTGGAAGCAGTAAAGCATCGCCAGCCAGCCAGAGCATACGGAAAGCAGTAAAGCTCGACAGAAGAGAAAGCAGCAGGAAGAAAACTATAGCCACGACGAGAATTACAAGGAAAACTGCCCAGCCTCCAGTAACAGGTGAGGATGCCAGAGCGTGTTTACAAACATTGACAGTGTGTAGTGTTGCATCTGTGTGTTCCTGAAGTGGTAGAGTCGTTCTGGGTATAGGTGCTGTGCATGCTTTTTTGTTTTTTAATTAGAGGTAACAGTATTGGTGTGCATGACAGGGAGTGACTGTAGTTGTTCTGCTTTGGTCCATTAACCCATGAGAAGTGTAATGATATACTAATTGTGGAAGTTTGGAGCGGTAGTAGCACCTGTTCGCATGGGTGCCTCTCGCTGATGATGTCATTAGCACTCTGTTAGATCTAAGGAAGGCGTGCTGAGTTATACCTAGCTGGGTGCGCCGATAAGTAGGTACGCCCCCTCTCTGGCGAGGCGATTGGAGTGGGCTGAGGATGGAACCTTTTCTGCTTCCCTAGGATGGTTATCCTGTTTGGGGATTTGTTGATAATGGGAGGAGGAGGGGATAGTTATTATCTTTAAGAATATCATAATTGCATGTTGTCAGTGCCATGACCACCACGTGCCTGCGAAGGTGGAGGCGTGCAGGGTGCAGGGATGGTGACGGGATGATGTGACGGCGATGCTGTGTGTTGCGAGGGCAATGGGTGCGGCAATCCTGGTCGGCGTCTAACCCCGACGACACCTTCGCTCTACGCCAGAGGGTGCCATATTGCACTGGCCCCGTTGCACTCCCCCTGTGTGGAAACCATTCTTAATTTTAACCGAACTTAAAACAATGTTATATTGTTTGCACTAGGTACATTAACCGGGGCATGAGGATGACGGCTAGAATAAAGTCGGTTTTCGTAATGTTCAGATACGCCTAATTTTACTGAGTGAAGCAGTGGTAACACAGCTACGCTGAACACAGCGCTTTTGCTTTCTTGCGCAGGTCTATGTGGAAATGTCTTCAAATCATGTTTATGTTACGTAATAGTCTCCCTGTTAGACGTGTCACCATAGAATTTTAGAGGCTCAGGAACATTTCCTTGCGAACGTGTCATGGTATGAAGTGCATCAGCAACCACCCGTGTGACGTCAGCTCGTGGTGGTCACATGGCGCGGAACTGACCAATGGGCGCACGTGTTGCAGGCGGAACTGACCAATAAACACACGAGTTGATGGCAGCCCCTGCAACACGCGTCAATTGCACCAGCTGCACTCACCCTCCGTTGCAGGAACGGCCGTGTGTTGAGGTTGCAGTTGACGGCCAAGTTGTTGCCGACTCTGAAAAGTTGATTAGCGTTTGAATAGTTAGGCTTCGGTTGAACAGAAGCTCCTCTCCACAGGAAGGGGCGGTGTGGGTCGCTTACAAACTTTTTTTTCTGGATCATTTTTGTCCCCGTGATTTATTGACAGCTTGTAGAAAAGAAGTGCATATATTCCGGGGTGAAGAGCCTGGCTGATGAGGTTGACAGTCTTTGGCTACAAGAAGGCCTGCACGTTAACTGGGACGCTAGCTTTATATATCGTATATCATATCAGTTAAAGCAACCACTTTAATTTATTCCAATTTAGGCTAGTTGTTGGGGATAAAAAGCATGATTAAACGTATTCAGGCGGTCTACACATATGCTGTTTGTGGAAAAAAAAATATGACAGCCTATTGAATACTAAGAATAATATAGCAAGTCTCTTTTCAGTTCGAAGAGAGTTGGGTGCGATAAATGCTCGCTATAACCATCCTCCCCCCTTCCTCTCCCCTCTCCCCCTTCCTTTTCCCTCTCCCCATGCCAAGCACAAGGGGGTTTTAAAGCCCACAAGAGCCATGGGCCCATCGTGACCCTGGGCTTTTATCGACCCTATATCGATTACCAACACAGGCAGAGGTCGCGGCGGTGGCGTGGTGGTGGACGATAAACATCACCATGGTAACTGGCCGACAGCCGTTACTCGCCCGCCTTTCAAAATTAAATCTCCACCGTTCGACCTGTCTATCCTCTCGCTTGGAGGCTGCTGTTGGCCTCTTGCTTTCTTTTATCTCCCTCACCCCCCCTGCCCTGCCCTCCCCACACGCCTCTCTGACTGTCTGTCTGTTTCTCATCTCTCTCTTCTCTTTTTTCTCTTTTCTCTCTTTTCTCTTCTCTCTTCTCTCCTCTTTCCTCTCTCTTCTCTCTTCTCTCCCCCTCCCTCCCTCCATCCCTCCCTCCCACTTTCCTATCTCTTACGCACTCACTCCCCCCCCCCCATTTCTGTCCTTCCCTTTTCCTCAATCTTCTCCCTCTCCACCTTCCATCTTCCATGACAGTAAAGGAGGCAATAACCATCACAATTTTGAAGAAAAAATTGATTTGGCAGTTCGAAAACTCGAAGCTGTTATTGTTTAGGCTAATCTGATCCGTTTTCCCCGCTCTTTGCCTGCCAATGGGAGGGTTGGAAAGGGGTTGTAGAGACGCTGGGGTTGTGGGGTGTAGGACACTACGAGATAGTGTGTGTTGTGGCTCTGGCAGATGGCAGGCAACCTAACGAGAGCACCAGAGTGGTAGTGAATTTGTTAGGGGGGGCGGGGGGAGGTGGGTAGAGCGCACTCGTGCATATGGTCTATTTTTTTCTTTGTTTCGTGGTGAGTACCATATAGATTCGTGTGGGTATTGTGTTTGTTGCGGGGAATTTGGTTTGTTTCATTTTGAGAGTAGTTTGTGATATATGAGGGGGTGGGGTGGGGCGTAAGGG